CACACGTATTTATTCACCTGGCTTTCTGTAGTTTCTTCAACTTGCACTGAGCTGTCTACAGCAGCAATCCTCTAGTCTTTGGAAGCAGTCACCATACATTAATTGCTGCATAGATCAGCCCTATGGAGAGAAATCTACTTGCTCTGTTACTGGAATTAAATGCATTCCTTCCTGAACATCTGAATGCAGACCTGCTTATCACTTCTTACGCAGCATTGCCTATAAAAGTCACTCTTCCATCTCTAATGAAGCATTCTTCCAGTCTTCACTGCTTAATGTTTCTCTCCAGGAGTGCCAACCTGTTCATAATATCAGTTCCCTGCAATATTAAAAATAACACAGACACAACAATCTGAATTGCTGGCTCCCTTACCTATTTCAACACTCAAATTATGATTATCCTTGTTTTTAAGTGATTCCACTGGATTTTCTCCAGGTTGCTCTGGCTGGCATCAGCCTCCTCTTCAAGCTTTGGTATTTATCTTGTCCCTGTACAGCCCATCTGACAGCTTCAGCACAACAACCCTTTCTTCAGCAGCTCCTAGCAGAAAAGAGAGTGTTCTCAACTCACTGATTCCATTGACTTCTTTTCCTCCTTTTGCCTTTCAAGTTTTATCTTTACTGTATCTCTCTCCCTGACCCATACCTCTTTGTTCCTTGTCTGCCACTTACATTAGAACTCCATAAAGCATACTGGAATACAGTGTGTGCGAAAGACACTACAGGAAGTAAAGCTAGAATGTGCTACTAGTCAAATCAAAATACATTAAAGTTTATTGAGCTACCATGCAGTGCTTAAAATTATAGGTTTCCATCAAAAGTTTGTCTGAACAGCTTTTGTATAAGCTCATATATTTGCTTTATTCATTTGGAAATGGACAGCTGCACAAGAAGAATGTGAAGAACCGTCAGAAAAGAATTAAAGAGTTGGAGAAGTGCATCAGTTTAAAAGAGCAAGAAAACTACGAGCTCAGCCTGGAGCTGAAAGAAATGCTTGTCTCTGTTTCAGAAAGGAGGCATATCTTTGAGGCAGCCGGTGAGTCACAGTAATGCACTTTAAGTCACAAGCAAAAAACATTCAGAAAATATCTCCAAGGCTAGATGGTCCTGTTCTCTGTCAGCATCAGCGAAGGGGCAAGGAGCACCTGTTTATCCCTGTATGCGCACAATTAGCAGTGCCCTTTCTACCACAACGATTTAACATCGTTTACTTGAGAGCATACTTAGAGATTGTTGCTCTTGTAACCAAAGTTAATTGACTGAATTGCTGAAACTATTTAAGTCAAAATATTACAGTCATTACTACCTTCATTAGACAACATACTTTCATTCTTAGAACTGTTCAACCTACTTCTTTCCACCCATTCAAGGGAACAGAGGAAGTAACATGAAGCTGGAAAGAGTAGTCACTATTAGGAAAACTAGCAATCTTTCCACTAGTAAAAGAGTTAAGAGATTTTCAAAACAGTGGGTACTTGCTAGAAACTGAAGGAAGTATGCCCGGTGCCTTTTTGAAATTTTTTTGCTTTATTCAGTACTATAAAGACTCTTAAGCCCAACTGTGAGCCTTTTTTAAAATGCTTGCCTATTTTATACAGAACTTGGTATAACCTCGGGACAGGTCCAATATAAATATAGACTATGCATCCCCTACGAGTACAGGCTAACCCCGATATCTTGTTTTACGCAGACACACAGCACGTTTCCAAAAAGATTGCAAAGCAGCGTTACCGAGAGATTTTGAAGCAGAAACACCTACGGGGTCTTGTAAAGGAACAGGAAGAACACTTTGAAATTCTTCAGGCAGAAGTTGAAAGGCTGAGATCAAGAACATTCCCTGTTCTTTAAAAACCAGAGTCCAGGTAGATTTGTAATACCGTGGTCTTGTTTAAGAAAAAGAGCCTGGACATCTACCTTTTCTTCCTGAACTTTTCTTTCCACAAATGATTTCTTTTGTAATTTCTTTAAAAAAATAACTTCAGTTTGAAAGACACGTTTTTCTGCTTTGTACATTTTATACCTAGTCTTATCCCCATTATGTTTCAGTTCATGAGATGCGTTTCTGCTGTTTTGATTATATAAACCATATAGCTCATTACAGAAGACAAAGGGTACAAGAAATTGTAGAGCGCTAGAAGAACAGGTGTATTTGTATATCCTCAGTCTGTAATACGCAATTGTACAACATTTTGAAGGTGAAGTACTGCAAGAAATCCATGAATTTGTACCTGCTAAAATTCACGTCTGTGGCTTTGCCTTAATTTTGCTTTTTAAAATATATTTACACCTGTGATGGCGCAGGTGCCAGTGGCTGAGAAGATGAAGGTGTGCTTTGGCATGACCACGTGTGCTACTTGGCCCAGTCCTGAAAGCTGCTGCTGCTTACGACAGCATAATTACCCACAGCCACCAGTAGCTGTGGCTGCTGCGTCTTACGACAGCAAAATCCCCCCCCCCCACCAGTAGCTGTGCCTCCTGCCACTGGCAAAATCACAGGAAAACCAGGTTTGGAAGCATCTGGCCTCCTGAAATAGTTGCTGCTATCTCCCACCCCTTCCCATTGATATGCGGTCTATTCTCCTGCCAGATTTCTCCAAGACAGCTAAGATGAAGAACCCTTGATAAAATTAACCATTGCTGGAGTAGGATCTGCCTGCTCATGCATTCTCACCGATTTTTATTTCCCTCTTCCATGGTGTGTGGCAATTCTTCTTCTCCTTTCACAAATTCACATAAAATCTAAACTCATTCCATTATGAGAACATTAATAGCTTTGATACCTTAGTTTAACAAAATTCTACACTTGTAAGGAAAACTACTTCTGCTGTTATCTTCTACCCACCTCCTTTTTTATCATCTCTAACTGGGGTCTGTAAGGATTCTAATTACTGAAACTTCCCTAGAAATAACAGGGCTCCAAATTCACCAAGGATCTCAGGGAAGAGAACCACCTCCTTCACCAGGCACTATCATCTTTTTTTATTAACCGAAAGAGGCAGAAGATATAGTGTTGTAGTATTCAAAATGTGATTAGCAATAAAGGTTGTTCTTCATTAATTCTCTGTGGACAGCAACATTCAGTATTCTTAAGAGCAAGTTGTGGGTACATATTTGTCTAGTGAGCCCTATCAGTGTTAAAAAGGCCTGTATGGTCTTTGATTTTCTTTCCCTTGAGATACATAAGAAATTACTCCCTTGTTAAGGAAACGCCACCTGTAAACAAAACAGTTACAGTACAACCAATAAGGAATGTGAGCACATATAAAACAATAGTCATAGCAGGGAAAGGTGTAGAGTAGTTAAGATTTATGTATTGTTATACTTGACGAGCAATGATTTTAAGTGAAACAGAAGCAGACAGAAGTCACCGCACTCCATGCATAGGCCATCATGAGAAAATAAGCAATTTCAAGTTAAGATAAAAAAAAAAACAAAACATTTAAAAAGGCAACATTTATTGGAGGATAAATGAAATGATGACGTTTTATTCAGCTTTATGATGCTGTATGTGAAGCACTCCCATTAGACAAGGCCTTGTTTTTCTTATTTATTTGAAGAGAGAAAACACTTTGGCTCTCACATGAAGTAGCAGAGTAGACAGATGTTGGTTGCAATTTTCTTGCCTTCCCTTCTATTATCTCAGGCTGTGGCAGAATGCTTAAGAGACAGCTTCCCTGAAGAAAACGGTCTGGACCAGTATCCGAAAATGAGTGCATTATGGCACATTTCCCTCAGTAATAAAGCTACTGAGAACATCTCATTGCAGCTTCAGAATATTACCAACATGAAAATTAGTTACCTTTACTTAACTCACAAAATGCTGTCGTTAGCTGACTGGCAGCCCGAAGACCTTTGTAAAATGGAGATGTATCTATGAACAAAGAACTGAACTCTTCCCCATCTGAACATAACAGAAATGACAATTAATTTGAGTTCATGATTTCAAGACAAGTAACCATGCAAAGACTAATCCAAGAATGGACTGCCTTCTACCTGTTAAAGTATGACTGGATTTCATTTTATTTTTATTAAGTAACTACTCACTGATCAAGTTATCAAGCCAGGTTTTCCAAAACAGCACGAGCTCAATCTTTTCTGCTAAGTAATGCCTTTTACAGTGCCTACTGTATCTAAGTACACAGCTTTACAAGTATCTTCTGAGAAAACCTCCTACCCTCAAAGCATAGAGTCCACTGTTTGTTCAACACTTCTTATTGATCAGAATTCATTCAGTCTTTTCTGCTTATGCCTGTGTGTAATTGAAAGCTTTGCACCTGTTGATTACACATCTACAAAATCTTCTTCTGTTCTGCTGTAGTGCAATAACTGGTCTTCTAATCCAAAAGTATCTATCAGCTGAGTGAGACTCACTTTCTTGCCATCTGCAGAAAAGGCTGACTGTAGTTCGTATAGCATCAGCTGTGTACTGCTTCTCCATTTCACTATCAAAGCCTGCAGTTCAGACAGGTTGTTCTGAAATTGGGACAAAACAAAACAACAATCTGTCATTTGCTGAAATGTGGGGGTTTTTGTTACCCTGCAGGTCTATTTTTATAAAATGCCTTAAACAATACACAAACACTACACAAAAAAAAAGTATCGTTGCTTAAATCAATAAATGAGGTAACTTAAATTAATTTATTTGATTAAATTAATTACATCAATAAATCAAATTAAATCAATAAATTGAAATCAATATGTTAAATCAATAAGTGACTATGAATTCTACTTCAAAGAATGACTTAAAACTGCTTTTCCAGAGGTTTGCCTCACCTTAGATCGGTACATCTTAACCAGTTTGAGCCTTCGAAGTAGTTCTTCCTTCTCTTGCACTTGTTTTACCAGCCTTACTTTTTCTTCCAGGGAATGTTGCTGACTAAGATCAGCCTGTAGCACAGAAGAATTCTCTGCTGATCCACAGAGATCATTTTCCTGTAAGGAACTTGTGAAACATGTATGTCCAGTGCCATTTCTTTCCAGGTTTTCAGAACCATCTTGTAATCTGGAACAATCTGTACTTGTCTTTGGCAGGCACCCTTTGTCAGCATCAGCACAGTCATCTTCTTCAGTGTCTATTTTGAGCCGCTTTGCCACTGTAAAATTAGTATTAAATGAACGTCTTGTTTTCCTTAACCGCTCCCTCAGAGCTGCACTCAGCGGCTAAAAAAATAAAGATAACAGAAAAAAAAACCCAGAATGATCAGAATAATCTAATCTTTGTGTCAAATTTCAAAGAACTGTTTGCCTTGGTTATTATTTACACAGAATGTGTCATATATGTAAAGATCATTGATTGTAAAGCCAGACTTCGTAGTTCTCACTATAGCTTTCACAAACATAAAGTTAACTTCTTCCTTTCACATGTGTTTGCACACACAGCTACAAGATCTGGAAAGATGTACCTCCATGTTTTTAAGGAGCAAATCCTGTGTTCCACTGAGGCAAGCCTACTCATCTAGTCTTTGTGCAGAAGATACACAGCATATTTCAACTTGGCTGATTTTATTCCATCATGTTCAATTTCCCCCTCTAGTTTAATGGAAATAAGGGATGGGGTTTTTTTGCTGTTCCATCCCACCACACATACACTTTCTGTACTAGCACTAGTATAAAACATCTGTATTCTACTTGAGAGTACCAGAAATGATCAGAATAATTTTGACTTGTTCATGCTTTGAGATCCTTCACTGATAAGCAGCTAAAAAATGATTCTTCTTCAAAAGAGGTTAATTTTATTTTTTTTTTAATAATCTGCGTCTAACATTTTAACTGTGATAATATACTGAAATATGGGAGAGAGGGATTAGTTAAGGAACACTTGCAAACTAGCCCTATCCTGCATAGGTCCAGATGCCGAGCGTGACAGCATCGCCATAACACAGGCTAGGATGGGCACCAAAGTAGACCTGAGCATTATGGAGAATATAAAAACTGAAAGCAGTGTACTTTGTTCAAGTGCAAGCAGAAGTCACAGAAAGTCATTCTGCATACACAGCAACCCAGAAAACCAGGATTTGAGAAAACTGTGAAAGATGACAGTGAAGATGACAACAACAACAAAAACCACCACAAATAGTATTTAAATTTATTACTATGGCATTTTGGATGTACTGCTCCATCACTTTGTATTCACAGCAAACATCTGCATGTTCAGAGCAAAGTATACCAAGCACATTCCTCACCTGGACAACCTTGTAGCTATAGGTATAAGCTACCTATCTTCAGCCTTCCAGCAAACACTATCGCAGTGACTTCCAACTACTTGATGATTTCACAAGCATTTTTATTACTGTGAAGAGTCACATTTATTGGAAAAACAAATAAGCTTTCATACCTGTTTCCCTGAACTAGTCCCCTGTGGAGCTGCTGTCCCAGAATCCTTTGGAGTATTGCACAAAGATGTCAATTTATCAAACACTGGTTCTTCCATCTCGAGATGGATAGCAGTTTCTGTTAAAAGACAGAATGAATTATGTATGGTGCCATTTTCACCTGATTATAATGAGCCGTGTGGCTGTAGAGATGAGTAAAAAGCTCTAATAAGAAATACTAAGGCTTATTTTCTAATTGTTAAGTTCAAAAAGACATCTGCATAAGTTACACAACTGTTCCACATGCTAAGTGGCATCTTGCTTTGTGAATGGCTTTTCTTCAAGAGGATGAATGACACTAACTGGTATAAAGTATCTTACTATGATTTTTTTTTTCCTCTCACTCATAAAGCTCTATGGAATTTTTTCTTAAAAAGATGAAAAATATTATAAAAAGTCTTACAGATATTCTCCAGTATATTTTTTTTTTTCAATCTGATATCCTCTTCCAAGTGTTAAAAAGGAGCAAGACAACTTATGAAGCACTCAAATCCATTATATTAAGCCTATAAATCCAAGGTCAGATCCTGCAACATCAGACTCATCAAAAAAAGCCCACTCCAAACAAACTGCATTTTCTTAACCTGAATGACCCTTACTGCTTGTCTAACTCAAAGGAATAATCCTTACTAAGCCAGGTTGTGAAGAACCAGTCCTTTCACATTTAACTGCATCTCAAGTAGTGATAAAGGGATTGTTGGGAGCCACAAGATTTTTACTGTCCACATGTATAAACAATTGATCTTTCCTATAAAACAAAATAATTGGGTCCCCAGGTCTGTGAAAATAATCCACTGTCTCATTTGATCCTTCTGGGGATGCTGCTTTGGAAAGTAATTACTGATACAAGTAGAATTTTAAAGTAAGCATCCCCAGTTGCTCAGAAAAGCACCTTAATTAAAATGATAAGTCATACCTCTCAGCAGGTACCAACTTCAATATGATTTGGCAATGTTGAACTTAGTTTAGCACTTGTGAACCACCTGCTAATCACCAAAATGCAGCTGGAAAATCATCAGCTACACCTCTGTTTACCTGCAAATTGCAATTAGGAGTTTCAAAACAGAAGCCTCTTAAAAACAAAATCCTGCAAACAAGTCACTAGGCAACACAAGACTGGCACAAGGGGCTTCCTCTTCAGAGGAACACACCAAAGCTTCAGCATGCCAAAGCCTTACTAACCCAGCAACCCTGGTCTTCCTGGCTCTGTGCCAAAGGACGCAGGTCCTCATTTATCTTACAAGTCAACATTTCCCGCCAGTTGTTCAAAATTCAACATATGGTATTCTATTTAAAAACACAAACAGATTTTAGTAAAGAAAGTCTAGTTAATCGGGTAATTTTAGCAATCTATCAATTAAACAGGAAACCCACAGCACCCATTAAATATAATGCAAGTTATCACTATTATTTCTTAATGTAAGCAAGAGCCTAGAAAAAGCTACATCACGTCTATGAATACAGTATGTCACAAATGTGTAACACATCTTACTAAGCAGCAAAATAAATTCAAGCCTAAGAGCTAGCTTCAACAGACTTGTTCAACTCTTTCAAAATAACAACTGTGACTCTCTGCCTTTACATTTTAATGCAGATTATGTGCCTTCAAATGACTATGACTACAGTGAACACTTTTTCCAGTGGTTCATTAATGCTGTTACTTTAGCTCTCTCTTTGGCAGCACATTCACATAGATCTCCTGCACCCTTAAATCCTTCCCCAAGGTCTCAGCCTAAGAATCCTTTACGCTTTCAAGCAGTGATGCTATTTATCACAGAGAAGAATAACTCTGTCTAGCAAGTAAGGAAAACTGGGGCCAGGAGGGGAAAAGACAATTTTGCACTTGAGTACTTACTTGATGTTGCACTTTGGCTAAGTCTCTGATGCTGCCTACCTCAGTCTGCCTGCTTATCGCTACAGTGTGTAACAGCATTCACTCCTTTTACGTTCTCCTCTCACCAACCGAAGGCTCTATTAACACTCAGTAACAATTTTTCCCGTAGCTACTTTTCCACCCTACAGAGAAGCAGAAAGAAGGCTGGGCAGCCCACAAGCAGAGCCACAGATCCGGGGAGCGCTTTCTGAGGTGATGCACCCCGGAGGGCCAAGAGGCACCCCAGAAACGGAGCACAGCAGAGACCCGCAGCGCAATCACAGTCTAAGCCAGAGGCTGCTCCCAGGCCGCGGAGCGGGATTGACCCCTCCCGGAGCACAGGGCCCCCAGCCCCTGCGAGGCCTAGCCCGCCCCTAGGAGCCCTCTGGGCCAGGACCCGGGCTGGGCGTCAAGGAAGGAGACAGCCCCGAGGGACGCTTTCCTCTCCCTCCTCTATACCAACACCGCTAAGCCGCGGGGAGCAGAACCGGCTCCCCTCAGAGAGCAGGGGAAGGGGCCGAGCGGAGCGAGCCTCACCCGCCTCAGCGCTTCAATTTCCC